AATCGAAAAACAACATTCGACGTTTGGTGCTTGTATGGTTATTATAATTATTTGTGCTATTTTGATGTTTTGAAGGTTTAGCTATATATAGAAAAGTTTAACACTGACTTAAACTGCAACGTAATGCAGCAGGCAAACAGGTGATTTCTGTTCACCTTTACGACTGTCTTTGTTTCCGAAAAATTGCACGAGTTATTTCATAATATTAGCGTAGAAAGTTAGGTCTGGATAGCGCACGAAATATTTTCAAAAATAACAGGGTGCCACTTAAACTTTGGCCCAGGGAGGATGGGAGAACATAATGTTTAAACTAAGCCACCTAGATTTTAAATAAGCTGCAGCGTTGGGACACTAAAGTTGTAATTTACAATGTTTTAGATTTCTATGCATGCATGCCAATAGCTATTTTCATAAATTCATTTTTATTACAATGGTGGTTAATTATTGCACCAAATCGTAAAAATGTATCGCTTCTAATTAAAGGTGCCATTTGTTTCAATCGCTTTGAAATTAACAGTAGCGTAGCCATTTTTTCCCGCTATGCTAATGTTTTGGTGTTCAATGACTGAGAAAAAAAACAATAAATTTCCAAAGACATGAATAATTATAATAACTCGAAATTTACATAGCGGGACAAAATCGTTAGGCTTTCATGGTTACGCCGCCTACGAGTTGAAAATTATCTGTCCGTTGTTCGGTGTAACTTTGTTGAAACTTTAACATTCTTCAACGGATTATCTTTAATAATTGTTAGGTCCAAAACGGTAATTTTATTGCTTTTCAAGTATTTTTACAACGCCAACAGTAAAAAAATTACTGTCAACTGGATAGTTCTACTATATATTCAGTCTTCGTACATCTGGTCCCAGGACCAGGTAATGAGTTAACCTGCCAACTATACTCATTGTAAAACTTTTAAACAACATAACGTGTCATGAGAGCGTAATCTTGTGACCATTGACAACAGCGCACGAATATATTACAACATGCACAACAAGCATTATTCACTTTACCTCAATTGCTCCAAAATGTGGGCTTTTTTTGCTTCCAAATAACTTCGGTGCACCAGTTTCTCTGTCTTTGAAACATAATTAAACTAACCGAGAATGCTGTGATATTGGTATGCTGTATAATCTAGTTTTAGCGGCATCATTGGTATTGAATATATTATGTTGAAATTTGACCACAGGAGGAAGCAATCTTGAAATCATACGATTTCTCAGGAGATGACGTCACCAAAACGTCACAAATTCACCCGATTACTTCATCGTCCCGCGATATTTTTTGGCAAATAAGCAAACGTTTGTAAACATTTTTTTGTACATTTTCATTCGCTTTTTAAAATTTTTTTATGGACTAATATTGTTCGAGTATCTGAAATATATTTGTTAATTGTGATAATTTTTCTTAGGGATTCTCGCTGTTCAGTGTATATTATTACAACAGTTTCCATGTTCTCAATAACTATGGCTTATGTTTCACGATCACTGACGTCACTGAACTCACAAACGCAGCTGGACTAAGTTTTACTATTTCAAATACCATTTATTGGGATTCCTGTTTTCTAGCTCGGCTTTGACAATATCCAGTGTATCGTGAGATCCGTGATTAATTATGACGCTGGGTGGATACATTGTATATGAGTATGTATATGAGTTCGCTGTATATGAGTTCATTAGTTATGACGTAAGCAGGGGAACACAGCGAAAACTATAAAACTGCAAGTTGCAAGAAAAATTGTGATGTGTAACATGGCCTTAACACTGAGCCGACTACATTTAAAGTAGTCAGCATATCAGAACAGTAAAGCTTCAACTTACAAAATTTTATATTTCTGTGGCAATAACTATTTTAAAATTCATTTTTATTGCAATATTGGAAAAATAATGCATCAAGTATCTATCGCTTCTGCGTAAAGTTGCCATTTGTTACGAGTTGCTGATATACGCTCACTGCATGAAAAGCCGAGTATTCACAGGTGAATACGTGTGAATATGAGTTCGAATTTGGTTAGTATTCACACGTATTCACACATATTCACTGTGAATATCCTCGGAATATTAGGGGTATTCCGACGTGAATACCTGTGAATAAAACACACCCCATATTCTCTCCTAGAATATGTTCAAATACTGTGTGAATATTTTTTGAGGTAGGATATTCACACTTGGTCATATTAATAAGTGTTGTTGAATAAGTATAGAATAAGCGAGACATTATTCACTGTAAAAATTTGCCGCTAATTTGTCTATAGTGCCAAATATACATATATAGCCTTGTTGTGATTCCGCAATCGCCTGTTAGTGTCAGCTATTGACGATATAGATTACATTATCGAGAATCGAAACTTTATTTAGTGTCTTTGATCGCCAATAAACTTATAAACACATGACCAAGACCTATATTTTTTTATTTTCAATGGCAAATTTTGATCGGATTTTTCCTCCTTTGCAATGCCTTGACCTTGCCATACATTGTTAATCCGCTCGAATATACCATTGTACTGAATGTATAAATTTTAACTCCTGTACGTTCCTATGTTATAAGATTAACATTCAAGTCCCATATGTGTATAAAAATACAGCATAAAGCCCAGTGTGAATTTTATGTGGCTTATCTCTCTTGGTTCTCTAAAGATAGCAATGTAACATGAACAGTTATGCTTCAAAGGAAATTTCTTTTTGAAATTTCCTTACCGTCATTTTGTTGACATTTTTGGCGCTAGGAAATAGCGGCGCGAAAATGCTGATATAAATAATAAAATAAGTATTACTGTAACTCACCTACAAACTTCAGTTGGAAATGTTTTTTAAAACTATGTTCAGTTTGTTGCACAAAATAAGATGCAGACAGAAAGAAATATATCGGCGTACATATGTAGTGAAACTATACCGAGGTTCGCAACCATGGAATGATTTGTTCTAAATGTTTATACAACAGCCATGCCACAAGTCCGATTCCACCATTGACAACAGCTTTCGTCCATATCTTTGGCTATTAAAAGGTCCTGCCGTCCTGGGATGCCACGAGCTCAATATGTGGTATCAAAATCACACAGAACAAACACACAGACTGACAGGAGTGAGAGACCAACGCTTTTATGGTTGGCATCAGCACAACTTTTTTGTAATTTATTTATGTAAAAATTACCTAATTAGGCAAATAGGAAAATTCATAAAATCACTACCAAATAATTACATGGCCATGGAATGAATTATATGATTGATTGAGTTGAACAAATCATTTTCTTGTATCCTATTTACTATACGTTGTATTTTGTCTTTATAAAAAACCTAGTTGACAATTAGTGCCTGAAATAAATCAGTCTGCCAAGTGTGGTCTGTGCAGATTAGGAGTATTGCCATTGATTGTTGCAACGTGTATTAAAATGCATACATGTGTGCTGTTCAATTTTGGTACCTAGTGCTACTATGAACACTAAACACTTACCACAGTGAAACTATGAACTGATATTGCAGAAAACACATGTTGATCATGTCTTCTAAAACAACACTGATACTATCAATAGAGAGTGAAATACTTAGAATGACTTGCCGAAAGAAACTAGTCTTGAGCCCAAAGATCTTAATAGCTTAGAAATCCAAGCCCGCCTGTGTTTCTTAGTTATATTACATGTATATTTAACAATGTTTCACCTAAACTTCTACTTTTAAGTTGATTACACTTTATCATTCTGTATACATATATGGCACTTATAATGTTAGTACCTGCCCAAATTATGATAATAAAATCACTCTTTATCGCTTCCCTTCATATCTAAAAGATACCTTGTCATGACGAGCTCTGTTTTCTGTGTTCTAGATCTTGTACAAAAACAACTCGGACACAGAGTTGGAATAATTTTGGCAATGTGCGTAATTGTCTAACGCACATGCCGATTTATTAATTTTTACTTAACAACAAATTAATTATTAATCAACAAACAATAAATTCAATTACTAAACAATTTGCACAGAAAAGGTGGGGCTAATTTAAACGCCCTACCGAATATACTAAGATTCCTTTACATTAAGCTCGGGTGAGAAAACGGGGAGGAGGGCGGGTTCAAATTTGATCTGTAATGACCTTGTCGAAGCGAGGAGCAGAATGAATTGGCAGCACATTCTGCTCTTTATCTATACTGACCCTCATCTCCGCTTTCCCACACGTTACCTATATGTCATCAGAATTCCAGGGAAATTGCCTGCGCGTCAAACTAAAGTATTTAATCTACTTTATTATAAAGTCTCAAGTGCAGGAAGCAATAAATTCTTTATTGGTATGCCAATAATTCCTTTATCACTTCCCTTCATATCTAAAAGATACCTTGTCATCACGAGCTCTGTTTTCTGTGTTCTAGATCTTGTACAAAAACAACTCGGACACAGAGTTGGAATAATTTTGGCAATGTGCGTAATTGTCTAACGCACATGCCGATTTATTAATTTTTACTTAACAACAAATTAATTATTAATCAACAAACAATAAATTCAATTACTAAACAATTTGCACAGAAAAGGTGGGGCTAATTTAAACGCCACAAGGCTCCTTGGGTAAAGGAGACAAACCCTATTGGGAACGCCGTTTGAGGCGTAAGGTTAGGCCAACACACTCACAAAGTTTTGGTTTTTTCTCCTTTTATTTCCTAAGTTATCTTCCCGATCACTCACGTCTCACTCACACTAAAACTCTTGATTCACCCATATTATATCTGCATTCCTAACCTATGACGTTTAAATGATTGATTGTTCCTAATTACTAATTATAAAATTATGTAAAGAATTTACTCCATTCTCAACACCCTCCCCCTATTCGATTCAAAGGAATCGAATATAACGAATCATGTTCTCGATATTCTATATAATAAAGTTCAAATCAACGTTCGATCACCCAGTAATTCTGTATCGACGAATATAACATAACTTTTCGTGAAATAACTAACTTAATTAATCAGTTCCAATATTATCCCCTATGTAACGATTTAAGTTTAAATTTATGTCCTAATCATCTTCGTTTTCGCCAATGTCCTTGATGCGACACTCTGCTATCGCTGCAGCGTTTCGTTTTGGTCGGAACTCTGGAACATCAGCTCTAAGTTTTGAAGTTGCCGGTTTTAGTTCTGCGTCACACGAAAGCTCCATCGGGTACAAGTGTTGAACTGCTCGTTCAATGTTGCTTTGTCCAACTTGCAGTCTCGCTCCTTGCACGATTCCATCCTTACCCGTGATGAGGCTTTGCACGATACCCAATCTCCATTTCCCTCTATTTTCTTCACCATCTCTTCCACAGGACGTCTTTGCACCGTTTGATGTACCTTGCTCGTTTCCGCAGATCGTCATCTTCGATGTGTTGATTTCTTTGCTCTGGAAGGATGTTCGGGCGTCCAAACTGTAAGATGTTAGGTGTCAGCAGTGGTAGTTGTGCATCATCTTCAACATAACTGAGGGGACGGTTGTTCAGAGCCACCTCAATGTCCAATATCACTTCTTCCAACTCTGTACCAGTGAGATGACCGTTACCGATAGATTTGTACAGCGCTTGTTTGATAAGACCTATCAATCTTTCATACTGCCCACCCCACCAAGGTGCTCGACTTAGGTTGAACTGCCACTTGATTGCCATCTTCGCCAACTCATCGTTGAATCTCTCGTCCTGCATAATTCGTTTTAGCCACTTCGCTCCAGCAACAAACGTCTTCGCATTGTCTGAATATATTTTCTCGGGCCGTCCCTTTCTCGCTATAAATCTTTTTAAGGTATTAAGGAATTCTTCCGTGCTCAGAGTTTTCGTCACCTCGAGGTATAGCGCGCGTGTCAAAGAGCAGGCGTAGACTAGGATGTAGGCTTTACGTTCTTGCTTGTTTCCTGCACGATATCTGATCGGGCCCGCGTAATCGACTCCTACGACTTGGAATGGTAACTCGCCTGACGATCGGTCTTTGGGTAACTTTCCCGGTTGGGGGTTTGGTAGTCGTGTTGCGTGGAACCGTTTGCATCCAAAGCAGTTCTTTCTCACTCGTCTAGCCATTCTTCGTAGTCGTGGGATCCAGTACTCGTCTCGAACCTTGGCCATAGTCAATCCCACTCCCCCGTGGAGGGTCACTTTATGGGAATGCTCCACTAACTTCTCGGTGAAGTGGTCTTTGTCTGGGAGATAGATTGGGTGATCGCCTTGGATACGACCATGACAGACAAGGATACCATTACTGCATGGTTGGAGGTTTAGTTGCCCGATCTTTTACAAATTCCGCCGTATTCTTATTCCTTTCTTGCCCTCTCGCGATCCACCACAACTTCCGCGCCTCGATTTCCTCGGTGGACAGTGGACCGCTTACTGATTCTTTGTCTCTGCCGATATTACAAATGAAGCGCGAAATCCATGAACAGATTCTCAGGGTCCTCCACAAATTCCACTTTTTCAACAACTGATCAAACTCGTCTGGTTCTTGGACTGCGATCTTGAACAAACTCTTCAATGGTTTTATTTCTGCTATCGTTTCGGGGTTTGGGTTGGTCACGATATCGCTTGGCCAGGTATCTTGGATAGGTAGCCACTTTGGCCCTTTCCACCAGAGGTGCTCTTTCTCGCTGACTTTCCCTCCTCGGCTACCCAGGTCAGCAGGATTCTCTTCGCTAGATACGTGTCGCCACTGAATGTATGATTTCTCCTGGATCTTTCGCACTCTATTACCAACAAACTGCTTGAACTCTCCTCCTCCACGTATCCAGTGCAGGGCCACTGTACTGTCCAACCAACCAAAGACCTGGCTTACTGGAAACCCGTCCAACGCTTCTCGAATGTTGTGGACCAAGTTAGTGGCCATGTGAGCTGATACCAACTCTAAACGAGGGATTGTCAGGTTCTTCTTCGCCAAACGCGACTTGGCGGCCACGAGACCTTGGGAGATCCCACTCTGTTGTTTAACCACCGCGAATACCGACGCCGCGACTCCGTATCCACTCGCATCCCCGAACGCGTGGAGCTTGACATCTTCGATCTTTTCTTGAAACTGAGCTAAGCTCCTTGGGGCGTTCACGTGGTTTGGAAGACTCGTCTCCCATTTCAACCATCTCCCTTCCAGATCACTTGGCAATCTCGCGTCCCAGGCCACTTTACGATCACAACAATCCCGATACAATAGCTTTCCTTGCAGTGTAACCGGTGCGATTATTCTGAGGGGGTCGTAAATCTTGGCGATCTTTCCGAGGATTCCTCTCTTGGTTGGCTGAGCTTTCTCAGCAGGTATCTCTACTTGTATGACGTCTTGATCTTTGTCCCATGAAAGGCCGAGTATTGTCGATGGGGATGACGTCGCCCCCAGTTGTTGCTTGGCGAACGTATCTTCTACAGAGGAGGTTGTGGGAGTTTGCTCGAGTTCAGGAACATTCGAGTGCCACTTGTGCAGCTGGAATGTCCCATCTTCAAAGATCTCAGTACTGATTTCTTTCAGTTGTTTCGCCTTCGCGACTGTTTCTCCTCCGCTGACCAAGTCGTCGACATACATGCTCTTACTAATTTCTTTCACGATCTCTGGGTGCTCTTCTTCGTGTTTTTGTAGGTGTTGTTGGATCACTCCCCCGAGCAGGAATGGGGACGGGGACAAACCAAACAGGGCTCTCGTAAAGCGCAACGTCACGACCTCTTTTGTCGTCAGATCTTTGAGCTAATGGAAGCGCATGGCATCTCGGTCCCCTTCGCGAATACGAACCTGAAGGAAGGCTTGTTTCAAGTCACCAGTCAACGCAACGGGGTGGAAACGTCCTCGGACGAGCACTTTTCATAAATGGTTCTGCAACGGTGGGCCAGTCTCTAAACACTCGTTCAAGGATGGTGAATTCTCGTGCTCTCGCGCTGACGCGTCGTACACAATGCGTAACTTCGTTGTTTCTGAGGTTTCTTTAATCACTTCTTTGTGTGGTATGTAAATTTCCCGTCCTTGTGGTTCTGCTTCGACCTTTTCCACGATCCCTTGATTTATCTGCTCTTGAATTACCCCATCGTACCGCTCTAGAATGCCTTGCTTCTGCAGCCTTTTGACGAGGTTGTTTAGGCGTTTCAAACTTCCGCTTTCGTTGCTAGGTAGCGGAGGGTGGTTGCCTTTCCACGGGAGATTGGTCTCGTACCAGCCATGCTCGCTTCTCGATAGCTGCTCTTTGAACTCGCTGTATACGTTCTCTTGATCACCAGTTGGAGTATCTTGTAGGCCCAAAACGTCTAACCTACATAACTGTTCGTAATCTTCCCGGTGCACTTGTGTCAGTAACATGTTGTTCAAGTCGACCTTCTCACCGCCCGGAGACATAATGGTCCACCCAAACTTAGTCAACTCAGCGATTGGCTCTCCGGGTGACCCCAATCTCGGTTTCGTCGACGTTTTAATCTTGGCGTAGTCCCCAGTCCCTAGAATTACATGCACGGGTAGGCGGTCCTTTGTGTCCCGATCTTGCATTGTTACGCCTTGGAGGTGGTTGTAGTTTGAAATAAGTTGTTGGTATTTTGGATTGTCTAAGGTCAAGAGGTCGCTTCTCTCAACTCGCGTTACTTCGGTCTCGATATAAAACTTCTCCTCTGCATCGCTTATTTTCAGAGCATAAATTCCAACCAAATTGGTTGAAGTCCCAAACATCATTTCTATACGTCGCATTTCTCGTTTTTGGGGTTTAGCTTTTATTTTGTCGAGCAATGCCGACGAGGCGTAGGAACTTCCCGCCCCCGTGTCGATTAAGGCGCGACATTTAACACCATTTATATTAACAACTACGACAGGATAGACGACAGATCTATTGGACGCACAAGTTGCGGTGTTAAGTAGCGTGTCATTAGAGGGCGCAGCAGGAGGCTTCGTATCACCCGGGGCGTCACAAATCGAGGTATGATGTCTACGCTTACATTTGGTACAAGCAAATCGGCTTCGGCAATCGGAGGCACGATGATCGGCCCCAGTACAGTTGAAACACAAACGCTTATCGCTTAGATACTTCTTTCGCTCGGCAGACGTAACTAATTTTGGACAGTTGATTGACATATGGTCAATCTCGTTACAATAAACACACCGTCTCTGTTTTGTTTCGTGTTGGCGCGTTTGGAATGTTTTCGTTCGAAGAACATTCGAGAACTTATTACTATTTTTATCAAGGGACCTGTCATCGACTCTCGTGGGGTTTCTCTCCGTCCATTTCCTAAGGGCATCTACTAGTTTGACAAAATCCCACTGCCGCCAGCCATCATCTGTTCGAACTAAATCTCCCCGTATCCCCTCTAGTTTATCTAAGGTCATGCGAACGTACCCATTTACTTCTTTCAGCTTCCCCAATGTCTCTAGAGACTGCACGTTAAACACTAACTTATCATAGAATGTGTGTATCTTACCAGGATTCGTTCCCTGTATGGTCGGTAGATTCATCAGGTTCTGTACATACGCATTCACGATCTCGCTGTCGTCCCCGTATTTCGTCTTTAGGATATTCTTTGCCCGCTCGTAACCTTCCGTAGAGAATGGCAGACCGTCTAAGGATGACTTCACTTTTGGGCCGACCAATTCTTTAAGGTAGGAGAACTTCGTCACCGCTGCAACGTCCGCCTTGTCGATCTCGCATTCAAATTGGTTCCAAAAGCGTAGCCAGTCCAAATGTGTCCCGTGAAATGGTGTGATTACAAGCTTAGGTAGTTTTGCGCTCGTACTTCGTGCCTTCTCATACTCTTTACGCGTTTTATCCAACTTAATTTCATGTTGGAGCTTTAGATCCATTTGAGTCCTATCGAATTCCAGTTGCTGTTCGAACTGCTCATGGCGCGCTTTCGCTTCGATTTCTTGCTTGTGCAGTTTTGCTTCCTCTTCCTCTTCTTGTTTCCATTTATTCGTTATTTTTAATGTTTTCGCTATCTCACTATCCCATCTCTCGAGTTCTAGTTCTATGCTGTCCGTCCATGTTTTAATCTCGCTCGCCTCGTCTCCGTTTCCTATCCGTATCTCTTGTACTTTTACCTTTAATTCGTAAATCTCGTCTGCCGTTTTCCGTATGGTGTTTTTATGACGCTCGATGCTCGTTATATTTCGCCTTTCGATCGCTCGTTCTAAGGTTTCACATGTGCCTTGAGCTAACTTCTGTTTTATCTCGATTTGTTTTATTGCTTCTTCCATTTCTCTCACAGATCCCGTCGGAGGTGCCACTTGTATTGGGAACGCCGTTTGAGGCGTAAGGTTAGGCCAACACACTCACAAAGTTTTGGTTTTTTCTTCTTTTATTTCCTAAGTTATCTTCCCGATCACTCACGTCTCACTCACACTAAAACCCTTGATTCACCCATATTATATCTGCATTCCTAACCTATGACGTTTAAATGATTGATTGTTCCTAATTACTAATTATAAAATTATGTAAAGAATTTACTCCATTCTCAACAAACCCCACCCCGTCATGACAAGGTATCCACAGACAGACTTGTAAAATCAGCAAAACAAATGATATATAAAACATTCATATAAGAAACCCACATATAAGAATCGCAGCAAGGAAAAGGTACAGATCTCCAACCAGTCGTGCCCCTGCATTGACCGGCCGAGTATCTGCAACCGGAGTCGCCAATATGAAAATAGTGATATGAGGTAGAGGAGCGCTAGCTTTACCCCTGTATCAGCATTGCGCCCGATTACCAATGAGTCTCATCGTAGTTATCGTAGTTGCAACTAATATGGGATATAACGAAATAAGTACGAACTAAGAAGTGTGCAGCCAAGGTCAACCCCCTCCAGGCATGGCAATAAATGACTCATGTCGACATATGATGCGACATAGGTCGCGAAGATAAGTTTTGACTACGAATGTACTTGCGGAATGCGTCGGATTTCCACCTACCCATTACTCTGATTTGAGCGTCAGAAAAACCGCATTCCGCAGCGAAAGTAGCTGCACCAATTCGAAAACTGTGCCCCTTATACTTAGTAGGGTCAAGACCACATGCACGAAAAATCAAAGCCAAATGCTCAGTAAATAGTCTGCGAGTTACTGCGCGCCCATCGAGAGTGCGAAAAAGTGGGCCATCGGATAAACCGCGACGCGCAAAATAGTCGAGTAATGTCTGCACAGGGCAAATATCGGAACGGCGTTGAAGTGTAAGAGAAACACGAGGTTGATTGTAGGAATGTTTAAAGTTCGCAAAATTGATTTTCAAACCGGAAATATTGCCCAAATTATCAACAAGCTGAACCACTTGAGATAATTAAAGCACGCATGGAGACCGTGGGCAAGTCGTTATTTCGCCAACCCGCAAAAAGGCAAAAAAGGCTGTCGTACACACTGCCCTAAATAAGAGTGCGCGATATTCACTAGAGGCAACGAGAGAAGTCTGTTGCAAAATTGTGCGGAGGATAGAAATAGTGATTGGAAGGCGTGCATCAACACCGGAGCCAAGCTTACCATATCCTTTCAACATTTCGAGAACCCAAAATACCTTTGTAGGGTCATGCACGCCCGTCAAACGGTGACAGTAACCTAATGCAGAAACATATGTATTCGCGGTCGAGGCTGCATAATGGCGCTGAAACATAAATGCGATAAATAAACCCAAGTCTGAAGGCGATATGGGCAGTTTGACTGAAGCAGATTGAAAAACTGCAGAAGCAAACTGATTGTAGAGTTTCCATGCCCTGCGATAGGTAGGGATTGACGATGGCTGCAAACTAGATTGAATTAACCGCGAGGTAATAGCGGCCAATGCCGAACGCCCACCGGAGCTAGCCGTTTGAACTTCGAAACCTGCAAGCGAGATAAGGAGTCATCCAAAACATTTGTAACCCCCGCTACATGGCGAGCGCGAAAGAGAATATTAAATTGCAAACAAGCCAGCACCAGGCGTCGAACAAACGCCATAACAGTCACATCACGAGAAGTAGCCTTATTTATAATATCAACCAATGCCGCATTATCGGTGAAAAAAGTGATACGCTGGTTACGCATCTGGTCTCCCCATAGAAGAACGCTTAATACGATTGGGTAGGATTCCAAAATCGTTATGTTAAAAGTTTTCCAATTTTCGGGCCAGGCACCGTAACACCACTCAAAACCTAAAAGCGCGCCGTAGCCGAGGCTAGCCGCAGAATCGGTGTACAGGTTAAGGCTAGCAGAGTCATGCCACATGTCATTGAGAAAAAACGATCGGCCATTAAAATTGGCTAAAAACGACTGCCAAATTTCGAGATCAGCCTTTACCGATTTAGTTAGGCGAATGAAATGATGAGCACACTGTACGCCCTTAGTTAAATCAATAAGACGTCGGGGAAAGGCCCTCCCAAAGACAACGACTGAACAAGCAAAATTGAGCAAACCGGTTAAAGATTGTATCTCGCGTAATGTGACCTTTTTGCGACAAAGAAAAGCCGATATCAATTGCTTGCATTTGTCAGTTTTATCCAAAGGTAAGCGGGCTTCCATGCGCAAAGTATCTAATTTAATGCCGGCAAAGGAAAGAACGTTGTGTGGGCCGATTGTTTTTTCTGGAGCGATT